TACCCTGCCTTACATATTAGCATAGTTATAAAAAGGGGAGACGGTGCCATCATTTTTGAAACGCTATCAAGGGGACCCAATTTCACCTATTTAATTATATTAATGTAATAATAATTTGACTTATTGTTAGTATTAAAGCTTTCAATGCAATTTCCGTTTGTATTTACTGTTTTAAGACAATGTTTATCACAGAGATTTCATCCGCACGAAGTGAGCATAAATATATTTCTGTGATAAGTATGTAGGTACGACGAAAGTCCACCAATCATACTGTACGTAGGGCAAAATGTGTTAAGATCTACGTAATTTGTGATGCCGATGCACACTTTAATCCAACACATAGCAGCGCAAGCGCTGCTGCTTGGCGTTATAAGTTACAAATACGAAAATTTGGTAGTAACAACCCTAACGTAATTACTATCCGGACATAAACCACGTCGTAACGCAACATGGGCGCACATATAGGGTACCCGCAAAGCGTGTTATTTATCTTACACGGCTTCAACTAACCGTATTGATATAGGAAGTTCCAACAATTTTGAAGTCAATAAGGAGGACTATATTAGATAATTTGTGCCAGTACAGAATGTCTAGTATAGTTATACTTATCGATTTCAATTACAGTGAAACCTTTAAAAATTAGTTCCTAGCGTGTGGCCTAATATGGCTCGCCATACTCGAATTTCGGTCACGAATAGAGCAATAAAGTTGACCTGGACTGTTAAAAATATGGGTAGAAGAGGCAAGCCTCTCCCAACCTGATGAATCAATAGCAAAGATGTTGAACGCCATGTTTCCGTTTACATTCTGACTGACTGATTTTTCATGTGAAGGATGTGCCCGCACCACTTGACACTGCATTCACAGTTTATAACTAAACAACAAACAAAACAAAATTTCGTTCAGAGCTAGTTAAATTGATTATTAATCCGAATTGACGAATGATTACGCACAAAACGACTCTTCAATTTGGTACAGGGTTATTTTCTTTACTTTCGCTATAATCACAGTATATCAAAGTGTATTTTGCATTGTTAGATATTTAGAACTGATGGTTGATTTTGATCGCGATTTGATCCTATCCGCGTGTGTACAATTCGCATTCTTGTTGTAATAAAGCCACATGTGCAAAATTACAACTTTTTGGGAGATAGAAGAGAGATTCAAAGATGCTACGAACGAAATTAGTCTATAACTTTTTTTATGCTTGAACAGGAGAGTTATAAAATTTCATATACACACATTTTGTTTTATATATACAGTTCGTTTTATTTTTAATGACTTCCGTGAAAAGCACTTTAAAAAAATGAGAACATCTGATTTAGAGGCCTGTTTAGTATTATAATATATGTATGTGTGTTCAAAGGAGCGAAGGGGACTGCAGAGAGTAGAAGAGTGAAACATAAAGCGCTATTTAGGGTAAAGGAACAGAGTAGCGTAGAGTAAAGAAGGGAAATTATGTGAAGGCTCATGTGAATGGGCAGCCGTTTAGGTTGTGCGTGAAAGTGGACGACACGGTCAAATTTACGAAGTCCGTGGATAAATCTTGCACACATGTTCTGGAGCCGTTCCAGTTTATTGAAGCAAGTTAACTATCAAAGGCAAATTTCAAATCCCGGTAGCAAATTTCTTACACTAGATTCCGCACTACAGTGTTGCCATGTCAATGTAACCAGAGTAAAAAAATACTGTTAGATTAGTAGATTTTTTAAATACTTTTATATATTAACCGTCGAGAAATGCAAAATTTTCACGACCGAGACCCTCGGTCCCAACTGGTTGAATTTTATGCACATGATGTACATAAGACTGAGTTTTCTAAGAATGACCCACCGTATCCTTAGGTTCATCCGTATGTACCTAGGCACGCATTTCCTATAGAATAAAACTCTCCAAAGAAAAAGATTTCGCTTTAGATGACACAATTGGTTACAACCAATCCTAGTCATTAGGGCCCAGCCATGTTTAGTCCGTTTATACGATACGCACGGGAACTACGTAGCAATATTTGTTCTTCAAACAAGTTCACCTAGGTTTACTCACAATTCTCTCCTGGTATCGATACATTTAAAAAAATTTGATTAAGATTAGTATATTTTTATCAATCTTCTGGCGTCATTGACTGAATTAATGTTTACAAATATATTTGGATTTGGTAATAATAACATATGGCTCAACACAATTGTTGTATTGTAACCGGTTGTGAATATTAATATTGTACTCTCGTTCAATTATTGTCATTAAGCATTTGCAGTATCATTGTTTCATAATGGTAATGCCAAAATTAGATTTAAAACAAGTCTATTTATTTTTTTAAGAATTAATTTTGTAGAAATTTTCCTAGGGCTTTACCAACGTACTACTTTACTATACGATATTTGGACTCCAGATATTGTATAATTTCGCACATAAATTTTGAAAAACTCAGAGGTGCGAGCCCAGATTCAAACTAACGACCTGTGCTTGAGAGGCGATAGTTCAAACCATTCGGCTAACATGATTTTTTTTTCTACAAACTCCATCCTATTCACTATTAACCATTATAGAGAACCAGTCAACCGTGACCATGGGACCTGTAAAGGGCCCGAAACGTCGGTTTATTTGAAAAAACAAATATACGCGATTGAAATCCGGAAAAATAGTTTAATTTCCTAACCATTATAGATGTTTAATATAATTTTCTCGCTCATCACGACAATTGAAATATACAATGACAATATCTCTAACCTTCAATGTGAACCAGAAAAGTACATTTTGTTAAATTTCTGTATGTGCACCGATACGTAAATAAAAAGAAAAAGACATGATTCATCAACTACATAATATAATTTTGTTTATTGGCGTATCTAAAAAAGATCTGTTATAAATAAACAAGATCATACATAACAAACAGTACAACGAACTGAGACAACAACGTATCACATAATTTACGTTACTCAAATATAATAAATTTTTATTTTATTCTATTATTTTATTTATTGTTATTTCTTTCAGTTTCACAAAGGACCTGCCATTCCAAAATTATATTATTTACCTAAAAAGAAATGTAAGTAAATACTTGCCTTATGAATGGTGGTGATAGATGGAGATACTTAATTGTAATACCAAAAATATTCTACGAAATTTCGTAGCATGTAAGGTGTTAAAAGTTCTAATTAAATTAATCATGAAGCATCTCTGTTAAAAAATAAGCTTTCCAAAACGTTTGTGAACGCATATTTAGCGTAACGTCACATGTTTTTACTCTAAATCTGATACAAGACTCGACAAAGCGGATGGCATTGAGCGTAATCTACTACACATTGTATAAAAGTGCTATAAAAACACATACTCATCTTTTACACATACTATAACGTGTATTAAGCTTCTAACTTTGAGAAGATAGATCGTTGCTAGCGCTCTCTAGCGTATAGTCAAAGAACCACGAAGTGAAGTAGCAATGTAAACTTTGCTCCAAATATAGACGACGAGTCTTATAATTCGTTTTATCATTGCTTTTCCTTATTATAATACCAATAAACTGTACATTTAGGAGACAGTAGACATGTTTCAATTCTTAGTTGTTTTTAATTAATTCTCGTGCTTTAGTTTTTGAGTTTTATCGGGACAGGTAGAGCTAACGTGTGGTTAACGTTCGCTTTGGTTCGGCGGTAATCCGCTAGATGCTCCACTGTGCAACGAGGAGGCGAGATCCAATATGGCGGTACCATTCGCCACTGGAACAGGGCGGGGAGAACAGTCTGTGTACTGGCGCTACAATACCTACGCGCATTTTTGTCGATTTCGACCTCGTCGTGACTCGAACGCGGATGATTTCGCCAAATAATCCAGTGTTTCAGTGTTCATCCGTGCTGTTTGTGTGATAATTTGTGCATAATAGTGATTTTGTGGTGAAAAACGTGAAAGAACTTTAGGGTAACAATGTCTAGTAGTTGACATGTTTATCTGTGTCGTGTGTGAAGATTTTCCCTTCGCGTGAGGAGTGAAGTGCGCGTGTGTGCGCGCGGGCCTGTGTGTGCTCATACCGAAAGGGCCCAATGATGGATTGCATTTCCATGGATGTGTAGGTAAAATCACTTGTTAATTTGTGCCTTCTTCGTGTGTGATTGCCCACTGTGTGCCAGTTGTTTTTTCGTTACCGTGCTGAGACTGCTTTGTATCAGAACCTCTTTATTTTGTAGCGCATGTTTTTCGGATGAAAATCTTGAATCGATTGGGACTACGTGGCTTTTCGTTGCATTGAATAACGCGGGCTTTCCAGTATTCTAGTTTCCTTATCGTCTTGAATGAGGTTGCTCGGACCTTGAGTCGCTTCGGCCTTACGAAACGTTTTCTTCTACGGTTCATTGTGTAACGTAGCGTTTATTGTATTATTTAGAACTAATATATTGTTTATTTTTAATAAGCGTAATATCTTCGTAATAGCCCAGTTAACAATCATCGGAATAATAATCTGGTTTATAATCTAATTAGATGTCTAATTAGAATCTGATTAACCGTAACTAACACAACAACAAAGCATTTGTTATGCGCAACTTTAAAGCTTGAAGCTTTTTACTTGTAAAGGGATTCAAGCTCACGCACAAAGTGCTGCTTGTATGAGCACACCATTGAATCTTAATTCATTACATTCATGCGGAGTCGCGCGAGAATATGGTTCCCCTCGCTCTGTTGGCTGCCTCTGGTTATCAGCTTACAAAACGTCTGCTGCTGTCCCTTTCTGATAAACGGCTAATCTATGTAGCTCTTTCTCTTTTTATCCCATATTGCGCGTTTTTCTTCTTTTACCGGGTCGTTCGTCAGTTGTTTGGAGCATGAGCTGGTTAAAAAAGAGATGTAGTAGATAACGTTTCTGCTGTAGTTTGTTAGAGTATAGATACTATTGAGTGGTCGTAATTGATCGGGGGTATCCTTTGTTTAAAAGGGGCAGGGTGGTTTTGACAAGAGGGCAGCGTTTAGGACCACCGCGCATCATTCCGCGCAGTATGATACCAGGTGCCCGCCCGCACCGCACGTGGCCATCCAGCCGCTGTGTGACGCGATCCTATGGTTTTCACATCAATTTGTTCAACATAAACGGATTTTTATCACCTGTGGAGCTTTGCGTGTTATAAAACTTCCACGATTTATTATCCAAAGTAAGTCTATTGCTTTGTTGATGTCGTCCTTTGTTTTAGATCTAGATTTTGTAACAGTAGATGAACATACGTTTTGCATTTTTTAATTTTACAAGACTTTGAACCTGTAGTTACTAAATAGTTAACAGATGAATAGCATACAATTTACTGTTTTTTTATATATATCAAACCATACAGTAAATAGTATACTTCGTATAAAAAAATGTGAAAGGTATAAAAATACTTACGACACGTGCCCAAAGGTTATAAAAAGATAATCTACATAGACATACCTTACAAATTTAGACCTTTCACATGATTTCGATTCAATTATTCTGCGTTTATTCTTTCTTTAATTAGTAGGATGTCATTAAAGTTATTTTTACATCAATAATTTTGTATCAATAAAGTCTAAAATATGTGCGTCGTTTTACTGTATAACAAAGACCTCGGTGGTAAACACGCTCATTCCATTGAACTGTCTTTCGTCAATGCCTTATTATCTGATTGTAAAGACTTAATGGCATCTGTGTAACTATGCAGTTTAGTTGACGTCTTCTTAAAATTCATATAAAAGCCAAATGTTTTCAAAAGTCTCATATTCACTATTGAATACAAAGAACAAGCTCTCAATGTAAAGAGAAAACGCTCCGTGGCTAGTAAATCACGACATGATTTCAAAAATAGTCATTTAGTAGCAGTAGATCTCTTTGTGAAATAGTTCGTCCAGGGAAGTACTGCTATCTTACCAATTTCTGCCGCCTAGCAGTAAAGTAAACATTACTATACTCCAGTTTTGAAGGGTTAAGGGTGCTGGTGAAATTACAGGCACATAGGATTTGTCAACTTATGTCTCAAAGTGCACTGGCAGTGCCCCTCAGATCTTTGCGATGTAAAAGTGAGTGGCATTGTAACTGCTATGTACAGATGAGTCGCTTACCACCAGCAAAAACTGAGCGTTTTTTAAATTAATACAACATATATTAATATATTGTCTTATTTCTTTATTCAAAAGGGGTAGGAAAATTGATCCTAGTAACTATGGCCTACAGTTTTTTTTTGCCCATTTCAATTCTACCAGCTTTAAGTAAAATATTCGAAAAGGTTATGTTGACTCAAACACTGTCGTATTTCGGTAGGAATCATATTTTTCATAGCGAACAATATGGGTTTGCTAGTGGTAGATCGAGTAGCGATCATTACTAAAAACATATCTTTGATGTTTGGGAGAGGTCCCAGAATGCTATTGGGGTTTTCTGTGACCTCTCGAAGGCATTTGATTGCGTGGATCGTATTACTCTTATTAGGAAGCTGGAATATTACGGAGTAAGTGGCAAGGCGTTGGAACTTGTCTCGTCATATCTTAACGGTAGAATTCAGAAAGTAGACATAAATGGAGTGAATTCTTTGGGTTCTCCGGTAAAAATAGGTGTTCCGCAGGGCTTAATACTTGGACCTTTCTTATTTCTCATTTATATTAATGATTTACCATTCTTTGTAAAGGACCTTTGCGAAATAGTATTGTTCGCTGACGATACATCCTTGATTTTTAAAACAGACAGACTTGACGTTAACCTTGACAATATTAATGATACTCTTTCAAAAGTAGTTTATTGGTTTAATATTAACAATTTGTTGCTCAATGCCAAGAAGGCAAAGTGTGTTAAATTTGAATTACTTCATGTAAAATCGACTAGCCCAATCATAGAAATAAATAGAGAAAAGTTAGACTTTGTTGATAAAGCTCTCTTTTTGGAAATGACCTTAGATAGTAAACTCCAATGGTTTCCAAATATATATCTACTATATAATACCTTCCTTGGCCAGCAGTTTAAGCTCTGCTGCATACGCAGTCCGTAGAATACGTGAACTTACCGATGTTGCTACTGCTAGACTAGTTTACTTTAGTTACTTTGATAGTATGAAGTCCTACGAGATTCTCATGTGGGGTATAGCGGCAGATATACAAACCATATTTTGTGTTGCAAAAACGAGCGATTCGTTCTGTGTACCGGAGACTAAGGAGACTGTGGCATCACAGTACATTTACTCAAATATTTTGTATGCCAGTAAAAATATGTAGGTACATAATTTCGTTAAGAAAGAAGATATCCATAATATTAACCTTAGAACTAAGTCCAAAGTCATGGTATCACGTTTTCGTTTAACTAAGGTAAACGAATCTTTTATGGGAAGCTGTATACGATTTTACAATAAGATTCCGGAGCATATATTAAGTTTACCATTTCGTAAGTTTAAAACTTACATTAAAAGTGTTTTAATTGAAAAGTCATTATCAAAATAGCTTAAAAAATGACGTTTTCAAGTGTAAACATTTTACTTATGAAATAAATGATTATTTGATTTTGACTGTCTCGGTAAACAGGCAAGACTCAAGAAAGCTATCACACTTCGTTCTATAAAAATGTAAAGAGAGCAATGGAAATAATAGCCTCTTAACCTTTAGTTCGGTAAGCACCAGTTATGCACTAGAGAACTCCAGAATGATTTTGTTCTAGTTGGCCACGGTTTGACATACGGGCACTTCCCTATTTTGTAATGCATTGACCTCAAAATTCAGGACTACAAGAGGAAATGATGATTATGACTAGAAATGTCTTAGTTGTCAGATACCATTAAAAAAGTGCACCTGTCAATTTAATTTGCTAGAGAATCAAATAAGTCCATTTTATCACTGTATTTCAAAAGATCTCTAAATTGATAAAGAAGAATAGACTCTAAAGCGCACTGATAAAAGAAGGCTTTTACTTGTGGTTCTTAGAAGACAGTCTCCAGACTGTAAACGTGTTAAGTCCTTATGGCTTTTATGGAGGGGTGCATAAGTGTGAATGTCATCCTATATTGTTATTCATGCCTTTCATTATGCAAAACAAAAGGCCGAATTATGCAGATTATAACAATAATGACTGCTTAGAAATTTAATCCGAGTATAGTCCACTAGAGTGACAAAGATAGCTTGTGAGATTTCCCGTAAGACTGAAAGTATACGAAACAAAATACAAGAAATAAACACATAGCAAATTATTGCCCTATTTGTTGACATGACTCTTAGAATTTATGTGTTTTAGTTTACGTTCTGCGAGTATTTCATTTTGTCCAATTATTGTTTTAGTTTAGTAACATTTGCAACAAATTGGTATATTTGAATTCATGCATTTAGCAAGAAAGAGTTATTTTGATATAAAATTATTGATTTTTTTATTCCAAAGTTTATTTGTTTAGAGCAAAATTGCGAAATCTTGAAAACACGAAGAATGGATGGCTTTCTTTTTAATTTGAATCTTGTTTAAATTTATTTTACGAGAAAATATTACTTGTAAGGACTCCTTCAAATTAAACGCTTGTAAAAGCGCTGCAGTGGCAATATTTAGAAGCTCAGCTGCAGCACCACATTTGCAGACTAGATATTTATAAGCAGTAGAGCTCCTTGTGAAAGAGTTCGTCCAGAGACCTTAGGGAATCTTACCTATTCCTGCCGCCAAGCAGTAATGTAAACATTACTGCGCTCCGGTTTTGTATGACTTGTCAACTTATGTCTCAAAATTACTAGTGGCGCGGCTGCAGTGCTTCTATAAGCGTCTAATTTTAAAGCACCCTAAAACACATTGTATACCAACACGTTGCGAAAAAGAGGTGTATGTCAACGACCAATAGCATTTTCGTTATACTGGCATCTCGACGCCGCTATGATGTAACAACGAAATACTATTGGCTCATGAAACCCAGCCCGACTATACTCGACGTTGGTGGATAATGGGCGTTAATAGTGATTATTAATCAGCTTCGTCCAAAATTGGCTTTTCTGCCAATGGAGTTTCATATCTCTACACTCTAAAATGAATTAAATTAATTAGCTATGTGGAATAAAATTCATTTTTAAATGCTGTAATGATAGAAATGCTGTGTGCGGGTATCAGATTCGTTAAAAATAAACATATGTGCCTATAAATATGCTCTAAAACCGCCTCCCGAACAAGGCTATTCAGAAGAACGTAAACCTCATATGCAGATAATGACGAATCGGATCGATTGGATCGTTATCGAGATTTGACCGTTTTCATAATCAAATGCTGTTTTATGTTCGCGATACCAAAAAACCCTTTAAAAGTTTGCAGTCAACTTCTTATCAGCTCATATTACAATGGAACAGTATAGAATCAAAAAAAAACCCGACCTCAAAAGTTCGGAATCTATTTGCCAAATTTATTGACGTCGGTTACTGCACGCAAAACCGGATTCATCCCCTAGTTTGCCACCCTTAAAGGTAAAAAAGGTAAGGTAAAATTTTCTTCAAATTTGGACCAAATTTTGGACCAAATGGGACCACTACCACTACTCTCTTTCCAACAAAACAATAATCATCAAAATCGGTTCATAAAGTGGCGGAGTTATCGCATAACATACATACAAAAAATGCATTTGAATTGAGAACCTCCTCCTTTTTGAAGTCGGTTAAAAAGGAATAAGTATAGTTCAATTTCAGTTATATTTCTCGAAAATCGATATCGATCAATTCATTTTGTAATCAATACGGAGAAAATACCGCGAAAAGGCACAGTGAGCCTAGCCCATAATTGATATTATGGGCTATTGGGCATATTGAAGACATTCGTATGTCTATTCTCTAACGTCCAGTAATAAATAATAATAATAATAATAATAATCAGACAACTAAAGTCATGAGATTAGAAACATATTTTTAATTATATCGTATATTTTGTGTAGAATATACGTATGCGTATCGATGGCTTACTATAAAAGTGGCCTGTCTCAAAAGCATTTATTTTGTCAGGAAAGTGGTTTGAAAAAACTGAGACGCAGACACGCAATTTTGACTTATCGTAGGCCATCTCAAGGTTGCCATAAAAAGGAAAGATTATTTTAACCAATGAAAAGTTCGGTGTTCCAGTCACTATAAAATTTAGCATTTTCTGAACATATCTCAGGAATACGTCAATAAACGAAAACAAAAATTTAATAAAAATTTATAATGCAAATAG